GTAGTGTTGCTGCAGATAAGACTGATAAGGATGACCGAAGAAGAATTGATGCCTTTGAGTTAGGGTGTTGGTGAAGAATATTGAAAATACCATGGACTGCCAGAAGAACGAACAGATCTGTCCTGAAAGAAGTGCAGCCAGAATGCTCCTTGGAAGCCAGAATGGCCAGGCTTCGTCTCACCTACTTGGGTCATGTTTTCAGAAGGGACCATTCCCTGGAGAAGGATATCATGCTTGGTAAAGTGGAGGGTCAACAGAAAAGCGGAAGACACTCAATGAAATAGATTGATACGGTGGCTGCAATGGGCTCAGGTATAGCAGGGATTGTGAGGCTGGCATAGGACTAGGCAGTGTTTTGTTCTGTTGTACATAGAGTCACTGAGTCAGAGCTGACTCTACGGCAGCTAACAACAACAGACAAGACTTACTGAGAATTGATAGGGACAAGAACCTGGGCTGCTTGGGGTAGGGTGGGCTCCATGCTTTTCTCAGTTTCTGAGTGAAAACTCAGAAAGGATGTCACTTATGTTGAAGACAGGGCAAGAAACTTTGAACCGTAGAAAAGATCATTTGACCATAAGAGATCTACATAATGGAAGAATATACCATGCTCATGGATAGGAAGATTGAACATTGTGAAAATGTCAGTTCTACCCAAAGCAATCTATACATTCAATGCAATCCCAATCCAGATTCCATCAACATTCTTTAAGGATACAGAAAAAACAATCACTAACTTTATTTCGAAAGGAAAGAGAGCTCAGATAAGCAAAGCACTACTGAAGAACAGCAAAGTAGGATATCTCACACTCCTGGATCTTATATACTGTACAGCCACAGTAGTCAAAACTGCCTGGTATTGGTACAATGACAGACACATAGACCAGTGGAATAGAATTGAGAACTCAGAAATAGATCCATTGACCTATGATCAGCTGATCTTTGACAGAGGGCTGAAGTGCATTAAATGAGGAAGAGATTGTCTGCTTAACAAGTGGTGCTGGCAAAACCGGATATCTGTTTGCAGAAAAATGAAACAAGATCTGTACCTCACACAAAACTAACTCCAAATGGATCAAAGACTTAAATGGGAAACCTCAAACAATAAAGTTCCTCAAGGAAAAACTAGGGACAAATTTAGGGGCTCTAATATATGGCATAAATAGATTATCAAGCATAACCCAAAATGCACAAACAGCAGAAGATACACCAGATGAATGAGACCTTCTAAAAATTCAATTTTTATGTGTTTCCAAAGACTTCTTCAAAAGAGTCAAAAAGAGAACCTGCAGATTGGGAAAATATATTCAGCCAGGGCCTTTTCTCTAGGATTTATAGAAAACTCCAACACCTCAACAACTAAAAGACAAATAATCCAATTAAAAAATGGGCAGAAGACATGAATAGACACTTCACCAAGGAGGATATTCAAGCGGCAAACAAACGTATGAAGAAATGCCCACAATCATTAGCCATTAGAGAGGTGCAAATCAAAACAATAGATACCATCTTGCCCCAGCACTAGCAGCAAAGTTCAACTAGACAGAAAATAACAAATGCTGGCGAGGTTGCGGAGAGATTGAGACTTTCATACACTGTTGTTGGAACTATAAAATGATACAATCACTGTGGAAAGCAGTATGGCGATTTCTTAAAAAGTTGGAATTAGAAGTACCATTTGACCAGCCATTTCATTACTAGGTATATATCCTAAAGAAGTGAGAGCCAGGACAAGAACAGATATATGCACACCCATGTTCATCTTGGTACTATTTACAATAGCCAAAAGATGGAAACAACCTAGGTGCCCATCAGCAGAAGAATGGATGACCAAACTATGGTACATGTACACAATTGAGTACTATGCAACCCTGAAGAATAATGTAGAATCTGAAAAATGCTGCATAACGTGAATGAACTTGGAGGACATTATGCTGAGTGAAATAAGTCAATCACAGAAGGATAAATATTGTATTTGTCTGTGTTCTGCTTACCTAGTGCCGCTCTGATAAGAATATACCACCAGTGGGATGGCTTGAACAAACAGGAGTTTATTCTCTTACAGTTTGGAGGCTTTAAGTCCGAGTCAAAGTGCCAGGCTCTAGGGGCTGGGTGAAAACCCCTCAAACTTGGGCTTCAGTTCTGCCTCCTGCTTCTGGCTTACTGGAGCTAGAGGCTTTTCTTCACTCAGACAGCTGCTGGCTGCTGAGACTGACAAGCCCAAGGTTGACAATTAAAAAGGCACAGTCCTGATGTTATCAAACCACACGACAGGCCATTTATTCAAATCCATTGAAAGTCCCAAGGTTGGCAGAGCATGGCAGGCTGCTGAACAACGACAGGGCTACATGTAGGATTCAAACATGCCATAAGCTAGAGACCATTTCCAAAGCTGTTTCTTATGTACGGGAAGCAGACTATATACCCAAAGCAGCTACTCAGCTGCTCCAATAGATTCTACCGTGGAGTTAATTACGAATCTCACCGTGGGGAATAACTACATTCAGCTGCCCAGCCACTCAACCAGGCCCAGCCAAGTTGACATGCAAACTTAACTACCACAGTGATTGTGAAAACTCAAGGAAAGGTTTATATGTGTTTGTTAGGCTGGGTTCTCTGGGGAAGCAAAAACCAGTAAAGCTTATATAGAGAGAGAGAAAGAGAAAAAATTATCTTGGGAAAATGGCTCACATACTTGTAGAAGTTGGCAAGTCCCAAGTTCTTGGATTAAATGTCAAGCTGGAGGTTTTTCCCTACTCACACAGCTGCAGGGGCTGACGAGCTCAAGGTTGGCAGGCAGTATACCAGCTGTTGACTACAATGAATGATGCATCCAAGATCTCCAAGCTGAATGGTGGATTATTTGCTTATGGACAGTTGTAGGCAGCACAATAGGATCCCAATCCACAGAAGAGTGTCTCTTTTCCCAGGATGTCCATAAATATATTGGAAGCAGGCCACACCCCTAGGGAAACTCCCTTTCAATGGAGTGGCTGCTCAAAATATGTATGTCTGATCTCATCATGGGAATAACCCACATCACAATTGCTTTAAGCTCAGAATTGTGGTCCAGCCAAGTTGACACACAGTTCCAACTACCACAGTATGGAATGAAACTTTTTTTGTTGGTTACTAGGGGTGGGAGGGGAGGGAAGGGAACACTGTTGGATAGGTAGAGAGATAAATATTGATTTGGGTGAAGAGAAGGGCAGTGTACCAAATGTGAGTGATCAGTACAGTGGCATTGAGGAAAAGGAAGACACAGAGAGGTGCATGGGTCCTCATCCAGAGGAAAGAAGAATTAAGAAAACCAAAGACACGTGGAAACAGTCCAAGGAACTGGTACACCATGCAGTCCTCAGCCTGTATGACTTTGAGACCAGAAGAACTAGATGGTGCCCGGCTACCACTGTCAACCACTCGGAGGGGGATCTATGTAGGAGATCCTGGACAGAGTGGGATAACAATGTGGAAAAAAACTCAAAATCATTAAAACAAAAACAACAATGGGACCAGGTTTGCTGATCTGATAGAGTCTGATGGGAACCACTGAGACTGTGGTCCTTAGCTGCCCTTCAGGTCTGGAACTGATCCCACTCCTATGGCTTTCAGCCAAACAAAAGACAGGCATATGAGCTGAACATTTACATTAGGTAGATACACTCCTTGGAGAGATCAATCATGAGAGAATAGAAGGGCTGTGTATGCACAGGGAGACAGCTTGGGGGGAAGTGGAAGTACATGAGATGGAAGGACACAGGGAAGAGATAATTATGGGCAGGAAGTGGGAGGAGAGCTGTTGCTTTGTGGGAAAGTGCAGTCAAATGTCATGAGACAAAGTGTATGTGAGCTGCTGTATGGAAAGTGAATGTGCTCTGTAAACTTTCACCCAAATCTCAATAAAAATGAAAAAAAAAAATCATTTGGAAATAATCTTTGTGGTAAACTCTGATATATATGTGAAAGCTCTGTAGCCCAAAGCTGTCACAGAAAGGGCTAAATTTAAAAGTGCACACGAACAGGGTTCTATCATGAGAAATAATATTCATTCCACTACGTTGCCTTTGTGGGTTTATCAAGAGTAATGGCATATGCCTGGAGTATTTTAAGTAGTTAAAAAGATTCTATCACAAGTTAAAATTTTTTTTATTTTGTGATATTTTATTGTGTTTTTGGTGAGAGTTTACCCAGCAAATTAGGTTCCCACTTGACAATTTCTACACAGATTGTTCTGGGACATTAGTTACATTGTTCACAGTGAGTCAGCTTTCTTCTTAATTGCACTCTGGTTGGTCTATTTCCAGTGTTCTAGTTTCCCTGTCCCCTTATCCTCTCATCTTTGCTTGAGAGTAACTGGTGACCTTTTGGTCTATATAGATTTTTTTTTTTTTTTGTAGAGCTGCATACTCATGGATAATGTCCTTTATCTTGTGCATGACGTAAAATTTTAATATTCTGTTTTTACTCTGTTTTGGTATCAGTCCTGAATAATCATTCTACAGCTATATAAGAAAGTAAAAATATTTACCCAGAAGAACATTGAGTTTGTAAAAAAAAAAAATAGGTTTCAATAAATTGCATATCTAAACTGCTGATTTTTATGAACAGATCGCAGTCTGCCTTTCTCATTAAAATTGAAAAGAAAATTAGAAGTTTCTGAGAACCTTATTTATTTTTTTCTTTTATTACACACGTAAGTTGATAAAAACATGGACATTTTAGGTTCTTTTCTTTAGCCTCCTTTTAACTCTTCATTTTGGGGCATGGTCTCAGGCTTTTGGTTATGACCGCCCCCGTTTAATCAGCTTCTGTGATGAAGAAATCCCCGCCATCTAGAGGATTAGTTATGTTCCCAAGGTCCGTTAGCAACCCTGCTTTCGTTTGACAGTTGTCACTCTGTGGGCATTGCAAGCTATAGATCATGATCGTCTTGTCTTTTCAACAGGTGTGCGTATTTCATTTTACACAATTAAACTTTTTTTTTTTCATTTCTTTTTTAGAGACTGTCATGCAGTTCCTTGAGAAGCTATCAGACCAACTTTCCGAAAGGTCAGTTCTTATCGACTTTTTAGAGTATGTATCATTTATTTAAAAAGAAAAAAAAGACGATTTGTACAACTTTAAGAAGGGCCCTATTAAGAATGTAGGTATTGGAAGGAAATAATTGCTTTCCTGGGTGTCAGTCTTGAAAATTGAGGCCATGAGGATTAGCTGATGGACCGATTGCCTAGAGGAGCCCTCGTTCATGTACAGTCAGCCCTCGGTATCCGTGGGTCCTGCATCCACGGATTCAACCAACTGCAGATTGAAAATATTTGGAGAAAAACAAACAGTTAAGTGGTCAAAGCAGTCCCTCAAAGGCCAAAGAGGAGCATAAAGTACCACATACACAGCATTTACACTGTGTTAGGTGTGATAAGTAACCTGCTAACCAGAAGGCTGGCGGTTCAAACCCTCCAGTCCTTGGAAGGAAGGTTGAGCAATCTACTTCTGTAGTGATACGGCCTCGGAAACCCAGGGAGGGGTTGCTGTGAGTCGGGTCCGACTCGACGGCACATAACAACAATAAGTAACCTGGAGATGACTTACAGTATACAAGAAGATGTGCATAGGTTATACACAAAACGCTGCACCATTTTATATAAGGGACTTGACCAGCCATGGATTTTGGTATCCGTAGAACTAATGTAAAAATTAAATTGTGACTGTAATTTAAATATGACTGTAATTTAGAAATTTTTCTCAAACATTTTTGAAGCTATATATTTGAACGTGTCCCATCAGCTTTCTAATAATTTCATAAGGTTGTGTTTCCTTCTCTTGGCCTGAGTACGGGCAGCTGTGGTGAGTTCATCACAACATGTCATTTTACGTATTTTAAGAACACTTTCTTGGAAGGAAGATGGGGCAATCTACTTCCATAATGATACTGCCTCGGAAACCCAAGGAGGGGGCGCTATGAGTCAGGTCTGATTCGACGGCACATGACAACAACAAACAACAAGAAGAACGCTCTGGTCTCAAACTCACAGACACAGACAGTAGATTAGAGAACCGCAGGGAGTAGGAGGCAGGAGGATGCAGAGTTACTCCTTCATGGGTACAGTTTCTTTTTGACAGTGATGAAAAATTTTGGAAATAGATACTGATGAAAGTTGTATAACATAATTAAATGCAGTGAATGCCACTGAATTGTACAATTAAAATGGCAATGTGTATGTTACGTGGGTTTTTAACACACGGGCTCACACACACAGAATGTTTGCCTCGGCATTTCTAATTGAAGCAACAGGTCCCTTGTTTATGTTCCGGTCTTCTCCTCTCCCCACCTGCCCCGTCACTTTGGTCATGTGACCTGCCCTTGTCCAGCACTCTGCTGGTGTTCACTTTGTTGAAGGGCAAACTCGAACTTCCTTACACATCAGCTCCCAGGTAGAGGCATGCCACGGTTTGTCAAAGACAGTGATATTTTTCTCTCTTCTTTTTTACGGTGCGGTCTAAAATTCCATTTGCCTTTTTGACCACAGAAGCACATGAAATTTTAACCCAAATTTCTGTTTTGGATTATAAACTTCTGCTAGAACCCATTACTCTGTAATTTAGATTATATTTGTAAATTCTAAAATTTTCTCTGTGTCTCTGCTGTAATGAAGGAGGTGTGTTAATTACACAGTATTTGAGAATTTATTCCACTTTGTTTCATTGGTTAAGTGCCAGCACTCTTTTCTCTGGTTTTTGTAGCTATAGACTGTATTTTGAGCAAACCTGTGTTGATGATTTTACAGATATGGGGAGGCCTTTATTCTAGCAGTCTTGTTACTGTACAACATTCAGCACCCATTTAATTGTTGCCAGCTTTTCTGCGGGGTAAAAAAGTTATGAATGGAGCTCTTACATGCACTCAGTGTTAGTGCTCTCCTCTAGAATGAAACTTACCAGTCCCTTCACTTTTTGAGATACACAAAAATTAGTGATTTAAAGATCACTGATTGACGCTTTTCATTTTTTCGTAACATTCCTGGTTTTTCCATGCCTTAGTCCTTTGAAGACAGATGTCTGCCAAGATGCTTTTTCAGGCAGAAATCCAGTGACCTACTGATGCGTGCACCTATTACTGTCTCTTCTAACATTCATGTAAAATTTGGATTAACATTGGTTTACATTTGCATGATAAGTTATGTCTCACGTTATCATAAATATTGGAAAGTAGCATAAGCAAATTGGTTCTTCGCTAATGTAATTATTAAAATTCTGTCATAACAATTCATAATTAACATGTTTTCTAGAGCCGTAAAGGATTTTGAGATGATACGAAGAATGAAAACGAAGCTAAATCCTCAGAATGCTGTAAGTCACTATGTTGGAATAGTTTTTCATAATATAAGGAATCTGTTAGGTGAGATCAACATCTGTTCAATCTAGAACTTGACTGTGATAGGCAGGAGGTGTAGATGACCTTGTTTCTGATCCTTGGTTTTGAAGACTAAATGTATTGACATATTTGGTTCATGTGACCGAGTCATTTAATGTTGCCTGGAAATCCAATATTCCTGGTCATTAGCTGACATATTACGGACACACACAGACACACACATTCACTCCTACAGAAATACAGATTGACACAATGTTTATTATATATGTTAATGCATAAGGCTCAGGCTGCTTCGTAGAAACTTCTCAGTTGGAAGGAGCTTGGTCAAGGTTTGATCTAGCGGCTAACAGTTTTCACCATCAGTTTTAATGTTGCGGTTTGTTTGCTAACTTACGGAGCTCAGCTAAGGAGATTAATACTGACTGACAAAGCATACTCCATATATGGATAACATGATCTTATAGTTCACATCAGTGTCCGTAAGGCCAGCGTGCTGCCCAAGTGGTTGAGTGCCCTGACAGGTGAGGGGACCCCAGTTAGTATGACATGAGATCCCTGGGGCTGGCTACTCTGTTCTTTGGCCCTGCAGGTGAGAATTCTTGAACTGGTGGTAGCTCCCAGAGCCCCAGTCCTAGGAAAGATTTAGGGAAATGGGTCTTAAAATTTAGAAATTATTGGACCAGTTTTCCAGAGTTAGCCACCAAGAAATAGATCAATCCTATCTTTAGTAAGATGTCAGTTTGTTCATTTATGGTAAGAACTTTATGTAGCAAAGAAATTAGTATTTGTCATCTGCACACTGTGGCTTGGTCTATAGGTCCACTTAGGCAGCTAGATTATAGATCAGAATTTAGTTGGGTGAATAGGGAAACAAAAAATAAAATGTGTTGCCAAAAGCTCATTCAGTGCATGGTAACATGGTTTGAACCTTTATCATCCCTGGGCATTTTTGTGTAGCTACTGGGACATGTATTCTACAGTTAAGTGTGAAATGCCAATCTTCTCATGTTTTCCCTTTTCTTGATGAATGGTGCTGCCATTTATTTACCCTACTACCCCAGCCGGAACCTGGCCTAATTCTAGTGGTTCTAAAGTTGTGTGGTTTGGACACATGACTTTCACCCAGAGTACAGTTCCTGTTGCTCGCTGGTCTCCTCTTGTCCTTGTCTGGCTCCCCTCAAAGCCATCCTGGATTCAGACTGCTTATGTGGAGTGAGTGGAAATAGGGATGAATAAATGAATGTAGTGTGGCAAGAGTGACTTTTCTTAAAAGCATGTCTCATCCTGTCACTCTTTGGCTTAAAATTGTCCAATAAACCAAAAAACCAAACGCACTGCCATCGAGTCGATTCTGACTCCTAGCAACTCCTACTGGGTTTCTGAGGCGGTAATCTTTATGGAAGTAGACTTCCTCATCTTTCTCCTGTGGAGTAGCTGGTGGGTTTTGAACCACCGACCTTCTAGTCAGCAACCCCATGCCTTACCCTTAAAAACAAAACAAACAAAGAAAAGCTTACTGCCGTCGAGTCAGTTACAACTCATAGCGACCCCTCCTTGGGTTTCCAAGGCAGTATTTCTACGGAAGTAGATCACCCAGTCTTCCTTCCAAGGAGTGGCCAGTGGATTTGAACCACCAGTCTTCTGGTTAGCAGTCAGATGCCTTAGGCACTATGCCACCACGCCTTTCAATTCCCAGATTTGCCACCATATATTTTAGATTTTACCACCAAGGCCTTCATGATTTGGCCTTCCTCTGCCTCTAAACTTACCTTCTGCTTCCCAAAGCCAAGTTCATCTCCTCGGCTTTCTGCTGACACCTCTGTGATGAGAGCGTGCTGTGTTCGCTTTGCTTTACTTTCTCTGGTTCTTTCATTCTAACAGGTATTGATGGCAGGTCGCTTCTGCCCCATCACCCGTTGTGGACACCTTTCAGACTCACCTCCAGCAGCGTCTCTTCACAGTACTCCCCGACTTCCCATTCTGGTTTAAATGCCCTGCCCTTGGGCTCTGTTGCACATTGTACAACATCACAGACATGTCACACATTCTCTGATTGTTGAGTCATTTGTCTTTTAACTGCTTAGACCCTCAGCTCCTCAGTACAGGGGTTGTGTCTATGCGTGGTTGAGCCATTGAGTCTGCACGCTGTCTGGCGTCACACTGTCTCGCATCTAGTGCATAGTGAGTCGTCTCCTGTTGAAGGAGGTGTGTGCTGGGGGAGCATTCAGGCTGGAGTTACAGGCATGTAGCCCCTGCCCTCGAGGAGCTCACCATCTGGTTAAAAACCAGAAAAACCAAACTCACTGCCGTCGAGTCAGTTCTGATCCATAGCGATCCCCATTGGGTTTCCAAGGCTGTAAATCTTTACAGAAGCCGAGTACCCATCTTCTTCCTTTGGAGTGGCTGGTGGGTTTGAACCACTGATCTTTCGGTTTGCAGCCAAATGTCTTAACCACTACATCACCAGAGCTCCTTTACCATCTAGTTAGGGAGTAAGAAAATAACCCTTCTAGTGTCTTACACAGGAGCTCTGGTAGCATAGTGGCTAAGACACTTGCCTGCTAACCAGACGGCTGGCGGTTCAAACCCACCAGCCACTCCTCGGAAGGAAGGTTGGGCAATCCTACTTCCGTAGTGATACTGCCTTGGAAGCCCAAGAAGGGGTTGCTATGAGTCGAGGCCGACTCGACGGCACATAACAACAACAACGACAACAACAGTGTCTTACATAGTCAGGCAGCTTATAATAGAAGTCCAGTGATGGATTATGGGAAAGAACACCCTGTTGGAGGAAATAGCATCTAAGGTTAAGTTTTAAAGGGTGAGAGGAATAAGGATAGCAGCCGACACTTACTGAGCTCAGTAAGTGTCCTTGATTCAATGGCAGTGAGTTTGGTTTCTTTGAATTTTAACTAAATGGTGAGCTCAGTGTTAGTGCCAGATGTTTTGCTCAGTATTTTAGGTCCGTTCATTGATCCTGTTTGGGAGGTACTGTTGATTCATGTGACAAACATTTATTGAGGGACTACTACATACCAGGCACTGTTCAGGGTCACAATAGAGAATAGTACAAACAAAGTTCCTGTCCTCGTTCAGCTTACACTCCCACTGGAGAAAACATACAATAAGCAGATGAAAAGGGAATATATATTGTGTCATGTGGTGACAAGGGCTATAGAGAAAACTAATTTAGAGAAGGGTAAGAAACCAAAAACCCACTGCCGTGGAGTTGATTCCGACTCATGGCGACCCGTGTGTTACAGAGTAGAACCGTTCCATAGGGTTATTTTTAGCTGTAATCCTTATGGAAGCAGATCACCAGGTCTTTCTTTTGTGGAGCTACTGGGTGGGTTCAAACCGCTAATCTTTAGGTTAGTCATTGGCTGCAAACCATTTGTCCCACTCAGGTATGTAGAGAAAGGGAGAGGGGTTGCTGGTTTGCTTGGGTGGGTCAGGGAAGACTTCTCTAGAGAGAGACTTTGAGAAGTGAGGGAATAGCCATGCAGATCCTTTTGGGAAGAAACTTTGAGGCAGGAAACAGCAAATGTAAAGGCCTGAGGCAGGCGCCTGCCCAGCCTGGTCCCAGAACAGCGAGGAGACCTGTGTGGCTGGTGTGGAGTAGGTGAAGGCAGAGTCCAGGAGATAGGCTCAGAGGTACAGTGGGTGGGATCAGATCATGCAGAAGAAGGTAGGAGAGCTCTGGACAGCAAAGGTTTTTAGGTTTTACGATTTGTGTTGGTGGACCGTGAACCCAGGCAACCTGACTTCACAGCCAGAGCTCTTCACAGCTCTTCTGACGATTACATTCAGAAGGAGCCCTGGTGGCAGTGGTTAAAGCACCTGGCTGCTGATCAAGAGGTTGGGGGTTTGAACCCACCAACTGCTCTGCGGGAGAAAGATGTAGCAGTCTGCTTCCGTAAAGATTGACAGCCTTGGGAACCCTCTGGGGCAGTTCCAGTCTGTCCTCTAGGGCTCTGTGAGTTGTAATCCACTCCACAGCAGTGGGTGTGGTTTGGGCTTTGCTTCCATAAAGATCGACAGCCTTGGAAACCCTGTGGGGCAGTTCTGCTCTGTCCTGTAGAACTGCCGTGAGTTGGAATTGACTCAAAGGCAGTGGATTTGGGTTTCTTTTCTTTTTTTTCCTATTTATCAGGCACTCAGACTTCCCTTTCTTTGAGTATTCTTTACCAGTCGTCAAAAACTGCTATTATCACAGTACTTCTTTATGACATATTTTCTTTGCCAAGATTAGAGTTAATTTTGCCCTAGTTACATTTTAAATTGATGCTTTTATTTTGGGAATCCACCCTAAGCTTCTTGCTCAGGTTTAGAAAGAACCTTAATCTTACTTTTAGTACCTATTCTTACCTATAATATGTTTTAGGGATTAATACACGAGCTACATTTTGGGGAAAAATGTCGACATGACTGATTTAACCCTTTTGTTTGTTTATATTTTAGAATAGCATTTGTTTACCTTTCTCCTAAATCTGGGGCTATCCCTTATTTGTGCAAGTACTCTACCCACTGATTGCCAAACCAAAGCAAACCCACTGCTTTCAAGTCAGTTTGGACACATAGCAACCCTCATTGGTTTCCAAGACTGTAATTCTTTACAGAACATTTATAGACTGCCTCATCTTCCTCCTGAGAAGCAGCTGGTGGGTTTGAACCACTGACCTTCTGTTTAGCAGCCAAATGCCTTACCCTCTGTACCACCAGAGCTCTTTTTACCCATTGATTAAAGGGAGGTTAAAATGAGGCGGGACCAGTATTTCCTGCCAAGCCATGAATGTGTAAATGTTTGGTGAAATTTTTCTGATACAGTAATAGGTTAACATTTTATAAGCTGGCTAAATTGTCAATAAAAGTTATGACCCAGTCTGTAGCTCTCCTAACAGTGAACCATTCCATTGTAGGAATTAATGCCTTGGGACCCGCCCTACTACAGTGGTGTGCTTCGTGCGGAGAGGTGAGTCTCCTGTGTGTTAAGCAATGCTCGGATAGGAGGAGGGAGAAGGACACAAATGTTTATTGAGAGCCCTGCTACTATTGCCCACACCAAACTGCCTACGTCAGAGACCGGTACCTCCTATATCCATCCCCTCTGCTGGCATGGTCAGCTCACGCCCATCTAGATCACAAATACATGGTCTTCTCGAGGCATAGTGCCTAAGGCATTTGACTGCTAACCAGAAGGCTGGCGGTTCAAACCCACCAGGCACTCCTTGGAAGGAAGGTTGGGGAATCTACTTCCGTAGTGATACCACCTCAGAAACCCAAGGAGGGGTTGCTGTGA